TTCAAGGTAATATGTGAAGAATATTGAGATTAAGCTAGCCACATAAGAGGAGACACATTAAGAGGAATAGAATGGAGGCATGTAAGCCTGGAGCATAGTGATGAAAGGGAAGAGCAGTATGAGATGAAGGAGGAAAGTAGGCAACATCTTGATTATGTGGGGAATTCCTAGGTCATGCTAAGGAATTTGAGTTTTGTTTTCACTTGTTTTTTCTAATCTCTGGCTACTGTTTGGAGAATAGATTGCAGTAGGTGGTGGGGACAATTGGGGGCAGGAAGATAAGTTGGAAGGCTATTGCAGTAGCCCAGGACAACCCTGACAGTGGTTTGGACTGCAGTGGTGGTGGAAATGGAGAGTTGATGGATTCAAGGTCTATTTTGAAAGTAGAATTGACTGGATGTGGGGACATGGTAATCAGATCAGATGTAAGGAATAAGAGAAAATAAAAAGATGTTGACTGGGTCTTAACTTCAGCAAATAGATGAATGATGTGACCATTTACTGAGATGGGAAAAAGCAGGGGAGAAGCAGCTTTTGGAGGAAATTTGAAGGATCCATTTTAAGCATATTGTATTTGAGATGTCTACTTGCCACCTAAGTGAAAATGGTAAGTGAGCAATCGCTTATACACACGTGGTACTCAGGAGACAGATTAGAGGTGAAAGATATAAATTTAAAAGACATTAATATACAGAGGATATTTCAAGTCATGGGAGTGGATGAGATCACCCAGGGAGACAATTTTACTGGAGAGACCTGAGTCTGGCATCCAACTAACATTTAAAAGTTAAGAATGGGTAAAGGACCCAGAAAAGAGATGGAAAAGAAGTACCCAATGAAGGAGGAGAAAAGCAGAAGATTGCAATGAGCTGGGAGACAATAAAGGAGCATGTGCCATGAAAGAGAGAGCGGTCAACTGAGTCGAATCTGCTGAAATGTAAAGAAAGTGAAAGATAAGTATGTCTTGATCTGACTTATCTTCTCGTGGAATAGCTGGGTTAGTTGCTGCTCCTATGTGGTTCCATAGTTCCATGTACATGTTCTATAGTATCACCCGCCATACTTTATTGTAACTGTTTTAATTACCTGTGGCTCTCATTAGATTGTAAGTTCCATGAAGACAGAAGCCATGTCTGACTGAATCACATTTGTAGTACAGTGTCTGGCATATAGTAGAACTTGAATATATATTTTTTCAATGGTAAATGAATGAGTGAAGGATGAATGAACCAGAGTTATACAAAGACCATTGACAATCCTCCATCCCAAATGAAAAATAAGAATTATCTGACTCCTCGACTCGAGCTATTTCACCAAAATTCAACAATTGAGGTCTCTATATGGTTATATGATCATTCTGGGATCATATCGGTCTTTTTTTTTCCCCCTTGCAGATGGAGTCTTGCTGTACCATCCAGGCTGGAGTACAGTGGTATGAACATAGCTCACTGTAGTTTTGAACTTCTAGGCTCAATTGATCCTCCCATATAGCTGGGACTATAGGTGCATGCCACCATGCCTACTTAATTTATTTTCTAAAATTTATTGCAGGGCCAGGCACAGTGGCTCACTCCTGTAATTCCAGCACTTTGGGAGGCTGAGGCAGGTGGATCACTTCAGCCCAGGAGTTCAAGACCAGTCTGGGCAACATAGTGAAACCGCATCTCTACAAATACAAATAAATTAGCCAGGCATGTTGGCGTGCAGCTGTAGTACCAGCTACTCAGGAGGCTGAGGTGGGAGGATCACTTGAGCACAGGAGGTCGAGGCTGCAGTGAGCCAAGATTGTGCCACTGCACTCCAGCCTGGGCAACAGAGTGAGACTCTGTCTCAAAAAATATACATTGTAGAGACAGGATCTTGCTATGTTGCCCAGGATGGTCTCAAACTCCTGGCTTCAAGCGATCCTCCTGCCTCAGCCTCCCAAAGTGCTGAGATTACAGGCATGAGCCACCACGCCCAGCCCAGGATATTGGTCTTAATTCACAAGTGTAGTGCAAGAAGAGGGGAGAAAGGAAGAGTCATTCCAAAAACTAGATCTCATACACATTATAAGTAGTCCATAAACTCAACTTTATAACACCGCAAAACTGGTGAGATTGTTCTTTCCCTCCTATAGTAATAGAGCTGCATTTTACCTCTGTGCAACAATTTTCCCCCATTTGATATTGTGCTACATGTTCATTGTTAACTTGATTTCACTTGTATAATTATTCCTGTTTTTTTGTTGAGGGAAGAGGAGCTACATGAATTTGCACCCTATCATGCCTCAGTCCTCACCAGTCAGGAATATATTTTGAGTTATGCACTCACTGAAGTGTCCTCACATTTTTGCAGCTCTTCTCTAAGGAGGAACTAGAGTTCTAGTTGTTTGTTTGTTTGTTTTTTTTGTGGCAGTCCCTGTTAAGTTTATACAGACCAATCATAGTTGACTCTAAGACTGACCTAAATTCTTAGGAGCATAGAATCTATCCCAGAATTGGCCTGAATTTCTTTCAATGCTTGGACTATTATGGGCTACTTGTTTTCTCACAATATACTTATGTTTCTTATGGCTGCTGTAACAAATGATCACAAACTTGGTAGCTTAATACAACACACATTTATGCTCTTTTAGTTCTGGAGGTCAGGAGTCAAAATTAGTTTCACTAGGTTAAAATCAGTATATCTGCAGGGCTGAACTCCCTCCAGAGGCTCTAGGGCCTCCTTGTCTTTTCCAGCTCTGGTGGCTGTACGCATTCCTTTGCTTATGGCTACATTGCTCCATAATCTGCCTCCATGGTCACACTGCCTTCTCCTCTTCTGGGTGTGAAGCATCTCTTTCTGCCTCTGTCTTATAAGGATACTTGTGATTGCAGTTAGTGCCCACCCAGATAATCTCCCCATCTCAAGATCCGTAGCTTAAATCAAAAAGACCCATTTCCTAAATAAGGCAACATTTACAGGCTCCAGGATCTAGGAGCTGATATCTTTCGGGGCCGTTATCAGCCTATCACAATTTACATCTATATTTACCCACTCTGTGCTCAAAAGTATGCCAACCTACTTATTGTAACCCATGAAAACTTGCACTACCTTCTTAAATGTCAACAGAAGCTAAATGTAAAAACTTACTTTAACTTCAAAAATTACTTTGGCTGAGTATGGTGACTTATACCTGTAATTCCAGCACTTTGGGAAGCTGAGGCTGGAGGATTGCTTGAGTCCATAAGTTCAAGACCAGCCTGGGCAATATAGCAAGACATGTAAGATACCGTCTCTACAAAAAAAAAAAAATTTAAAGATTAATCGAGATCAACAGTCCCCTTTCTTTTTAGAGTCCCAACTATAGAATTCTGCCTGTCTCCTGAAGTCTAGGATAGGTGCCTGGGTGATTAGCAAAGTAGTGCTATAAGGTTGGCTAGGCAGGTAGTATCCTGACAGTTTGGCAAATGAGGAAACTAAGACTTGGATTCGGCTGGGTGCGGTGGCTCGCACCTATAATCCCATGCTTTGGGAGGATGAGGTGGGAGGATTGCTTGAGGACACAAGTTCAAGACCAGCATGGGTGACGTAGCAAGACTCCATCTCTAGTTAAAAAAAAAACAAAAACAAAAAAACAGCTGGGCATGGTGGTGCACACTCATATTCCTGGATACTCAGGAGGCTGAGGCTGGTGTATCACTTGCGCCTAAGAAGTTGAGGCAGCAGTGAGCTATGATTGTGCCACTGCACTCCAGCTAGGTCACGGAGTGAGACTCTGTCTCTTAAAAAATAAAAAATACTTGAATTAAATTTCCAAGGTCCCACAAATAGAAATGGTGTACCAGCTGAGCATAGTGGCCCAGTAATCCCAGCACTTTGAGAGGCATAGGGAGGAGGATAGCTGGAGCCCAGGAGTTTAAGACCAACCTGGGCAACATAGTGAGACCCTGTTTTTAAAAAATAAAAATAAAAGGGCCAGGCATGGTGGCTCACACCTGTAAGCCCAGCACTTTGGGAGGCTGAGGTGGGTGGATCACCCGAGGTCAGGAGTTCAAGACCAGCCTGGCCAACATGGTGAAACCTCGTCTCCACGAAAAATACAAAAATTAGCAGGTCGTGGTGGTGGGTGCCTATGGTCCCAGCTACTCGGGAGCCTGAGGCAGGAAAATCACTTGAACCAAGAGGCAGAGATTGCAGTAAGTCGAGATCACGCCACTGCACTCCAGCCTGGGCGATAGAGCGAGACTCCGTCTCAAAATTAAAAATAAAAACAAATAAAAAAGAATGGGGATGCAGATAAGAAAAAACAAGCAATCATCAAACAAGCCACCTCAAGGTGGAGTACCATGGAATGTCAGAGGCTTCATGAAAGACAGAAAAACTGAAGAGTCCTTGGGGTTAGGAATTCAGAGGTGGGCAGGTCTTATACAGACCTCGCCCTCAACAAACCTACAGCCTAATAAGAGTCGATAAAATAATTTCCATGGAGTGTGTAAAGCCCTGGTAAAGGAGACATACTGGTGTTAGGAAATACCTAATTTTGTGGGGTGGGGGAATGGAAGGATGGGGGAAGGATTGGGTGGTCAGAGATGCGGTTTAAGCTGAGACTTGAAAGATGATGGAGTAGTTGACCACGAGGTCAGAGGAACTGGGAGGCGCTATGATTCGGGATCCCACAGAGAGAGATTCGTGGGCACCTTGACAGATTTGGTTTACAGTGACCTCTGCTGTAAGAGATCATTAGCCTTGTGAACATCCCCTCGGCAAAAACGATGAAGTTCTGCACTTCATTTCACCAGAGGTGGGCTCACCTCAAATTCCTGGTTCCTTATTCCCGCAGGCTCCCACCAACTGCAGAGCAGAGGTGGCTCACAAGCGGCGGGGCTCTGCCCTAGATTGCCAGTAGGCGCTTGACTCACATCCAGCTCCACCCCTGGAGATGCTCCAGAAGCCCCGCCCACGTCCAGGCACGTTCTTCTGGGGCTAGTCGCAGGGGCCGCCCCGGCCGCGGCGCTCACGTGACCCAAGGTGTGACGTAGGAGGAAGGAGACGCCATTAGAGGGAGGCAGAGAGGGATCGTTCTTCGCCTTTCCTCCGGTGTCTGACGTGGTGGGCTGGGGCCCTTCGTCCTCGGACTTTCCCTCAGCCCTTCCAGGCCTCGCCCGAGGAGGGAGTGGGGACAGCGCCCTGGTCGGCGGAGCCGGGGTGGTGGGGGCTGAGCCGGCTGTGGCTGTGAAGGCGCTGCCGCGGCTGTGGGGAGGGCGGCGCGACACTCGGGCTCGGGCGGCCGGGAAGCGACGGGATGGCTGCGGCCGGCGGCGGCGGGGCGGCGGCGGCGGGCCGAGCCTACTCGTTCAAGGTGGTGCTGCTGGGGGAAGGCTGCGTGGGGAAGACGTCGCTGGTGCTGCGCTACTGCGAGAACAAGTTTAACGACAAGCACATCACAACTCTGCAGGTGCGGACCTCGGGGAGCGGGAGGGGGCGCCTCAGGGCCCCTACCCCTCCGGGGCTGGGGAAACTTTGCCGCCCCGGTCCCCTGGATCTAGGCTGGTAAATCCCAGGCCTGTCATCTCCGCCTTCGGTTTACTTTTCCGAATTCGCCCTGGGGAATCACCAGGTCGGGGCAGCCTGTAGACGCGAGGACAGGCTGGTTGGGAGGGAAGTGGAAGGGCCCTGAAAAGTCCCCAGTGCCCTCCGTGGTGGCTGCGCACGTTGTGGTCCCCGTCTGTGGACTTTTTTTTTTTCCCATTTACTGCACTTCCTGGGCCCCAGGTGTCTTCAGCGTTGCAGTCTTCAAATGTTAGCTCCTTTTCTTTCTTTCATAATTAGGAACTTAGCTGCGGATTCGATTTTGTGAATTAGGTGATTTGTAACTTCAGCGCTTACTGATGACTAAGTGTTTATGCAAGTTCCATTTTGTCCTGAGTAACAGGAATGGCAAAAGAGCCATCTCTGGAGGTTTTTTGAAATGACCGCTTGCCCAGGCGTGTTACGCAGTTTCATTGCAGCCTGCGTGGGTCTGACTTGTGGGTCACTCATATTCTGCGAGGTCGATTGACCCACGCTGAAACATCAAGTGAATACTGACCAACAATTGGTCCCCAGACTAAAAGCCGGTGCTGTTACTCATTTTCTTTACCTGTAATAAAAGGCCGGCTTCTACAGGTACGTTGGAAAGGTATTAACATGTTATCACTGATTGAGAGTGAAGCCAGGCCTTTAAGGGAGTTGTACTCACCCCACTCTCCCAGAGAAATCAGTTTTCATGTATTAAAAGAAATTTATCCTACTAATTTGACTTATCAATTTGTCCAAAGGCAGTAAAGTCTAGCGCACTTTTGAGCCTGATTGTCTAGGTTCATGTCTCACCTCCATCCATTTAACTAGCTGTGTCATACTGGATAAGTTACTTAACCTGTCTGTGCTTGTTTCTTCTGTTAAAATGGCCATAATGGTAGTATCTAGCTCATAGGGTTGTCAGGATAAATATACAGAAAAAGCCCTGATGACCTGGTCCAGTGTAAGTTGTCTATCTTTACTGCCCCAACTTGCACAATAGGTCTTAATTAGTAAATGTGTAGTATGTGAGAACATCAACACTACTTAATAGAATGCGTAATCTCCTAATTGTTGTGACATTGGATGTTTGATGCTATTATTAAACTGAGTCTAGAATTTACAAGACGCTCTGGCTCTGATTCCATGTTCTATTTTTACTCTTCTGTTTTTACTCGTATGTAAAGCACATCTGAAAAAGTGAGTGCCAGGAAACTGCATTAAAAAAAAATCCTTGTACCAGAGCACTAACAAAATTTTAATAATGAATTGTTATTGTTCAGTGTCCTGTTAGTGAGAGCCTTGTGTTTTGGATCAAGAAAATTCACTGGACAAATACCCAGGATCGTTTAGAAGTTTAGAGATTTACTTAGGTAAAGTGGTAACAATAGCTAACATTTAGTGAGTTCTTACTGTGCTAATTATTTTGCTTGATTTCTGTCATTTAATTCTTATAACACCCTATGAAGTGGATAGTTTAGTGGATAGCCCTACAGGTGAGGAAACAGGTTTAGTTGAGTAATTTTGCTGACAGTAATATTACCACAAGTCAGTGGTACAGGAGTGTCCAAGCTCAAATTTGAACCCCTGTCTGACTTCAGATTTTGAGCAATTAAATCACATTACCTCTGGATATTGGTAAATATCCCATCTAGTGTTTTCCTTTATGCAAAGATCTAAGATAAAAGAAAACTATTGTAATTGAGGTCTTCGCGTTTTTTTCAAAGGATAACTTGAATCTTGCCCTTTCACCCAGGCTGAAGTGCAGCAATCTTCACTCACTGCAACCTCCACCTCCTGGGTCAAGTGATTCTCCTGCATCAACCTCCCAAGCAGCTGGGATTACAGGCACGTGCCACCATGCCTGGCTAATTTTTTTGTATTTTTAGTAGAGATGGGGTTTCACCATATTGGCCAGGCAGGTCTCGAACTCCTGTCCTCAGGTGATTTGCCTGTCTTAGCTTTCCAAAGTGCTGGGATTACAGATGTGAGCCACCGTGCCTGGCCATACCTTTTCATAAATTTCTAAAACATTCTTGAAGCTAAAAGCAAAGTAAAAGTTTTTAAATATATGAAAAGCCACTGCACTCCTACACAGGGGAGGACGAAGTTGTAGTAGATATCCAGTGTTAATATCTGAATTATATTATAGAATTTAGGATTTTGTTGTACACCAATATATGTAAACAGCAATGTGTCTAATCCCTTTCAGAGATACCAGTTCACCTCATCTTTCTTAACAATTTTTCAGAGGAATTTGATTTATGTGACTTGTAAGACACAACTTTGTATCTTTTTAATTTCCAAATGGAGAGGAAATGGTGTGAGAGGATATGAGAGGAAGAGTTCACCTTTTTTCTTGTCAACAGAGTACCTGTCTCTGTAAACTACTTTGTATTTCTATAAAGTACATTCTCATACATTTCAAAGAATTGCAGGATTGACAGGAATTTAAGATAGTTTATGTATGGATCACTATTTTGGTCTTTTAATGTTTAGTCAAGTGGTTGTCCCCCTTTTTTTTTTTTTAACATCTTGGTGGTGAAATGAACTGGTATTATGGAAAGTGGAAAGCTCACTATGTCCTAAGGTGGCCCATTTCATTTAAAATTTTGTTTTGTTTTGTTTTTGAGACAGAGTCTCACTCTTATCACCCAGGCCGGAGTCTAGGGGTACGATCTCAACTCACTGCAACCTCCATCTCCTGGATTCAAGCGATTCTCCTGCCTCAGGCTTCCGAGTAGCTGGGACTACAGGCGCGTGCCTCCATGCCTGGCTAATTTTTGTATGTTTAGTGGAGATGGGATTTTGCGATGTTGGCCAGGCTGGTCTCGAACTGCTGACCTCAGGTGATCCACCTGCCTTGGCCTCCCAAAGTGCTGGGATTACAGGTGTGAGCCACCACTCCTGGTCCCACTTCATTTTTAGACAGGTCTAATTTCTAGTAAGTTTTTCTGTATAGAAAGCCAAAATCTGTTTCCCTGTATTTTTCAGTCCTAATTCTCCCTTCTGAATCTTGGTATCTCATATGACATTCCTTCTGAGAGTTGAAGATAACTGTCTAGTCTTCTCTTGGGTGAACAACTCTAGTTCCCTTAACTAGATTTCCAGTGACAGTGACATCGTTTTAAATCCTTTCACTTTTTTTTTTTGTTTTTGGAGGCAGAGTCTTGCTCTGTTTTGTAGGCTGGAGTGCAGTGGTGCTATCATAGCTGCCTGCAGCCTCCAACTCCTGGGCTCAAGTAATCCTTCCACCTCAGCCTCCAAGTAGCTGGGACCACAGGCATGCGCCACAATGCATGGCTAGTTTTTTTCTTTATTTTTAGTAGAGTTGAGGTTTTGCTGTGTTGCCCAGGCTGTTCTAGAACTCTGAGCTCAAGCAATCCTCCTGCTTTGGCCTCCTGAAATGCTGAAATTACAGGTATGAGCCACTGTGCATGGCCCTTTCACTATCTTGATATGTCTTCTAGGCACTATTTAATCGTTTTCCCTCTTTCCTTAAAGTGTGATTCCTTGAGCTGTAGAAATAATTCCAGGCGTGGTGGTTTGAACTGAACAGAGAATTGCAGGCTATCACCTCACCTGTTGAGAATCCTTTTCCAACACTGAAGTAGATTCTGTGAGCTTTTGGGGAAGCTCTCACTTTGGTAAACACTGAATTTGCTGTCAATTGAAACATCTTAGTCTTTATTGCTTCAAAAAAAAAAAAAAAAGCATTATTTGTATCTCTCAAATTCTCTTTTCTTTGGTATTGTAGTTAAGCTTTTTCTTTTGTTTCTAATACACTTGATCCATTAAGGTTGACTTTGGTAGATTTACTCCAGTAGGTAAACCTGTTAATGTCCTTTTTAATTTGGATTCTGTAATTCACGAAACACTGACTGGGCTCCTGTGGACCAGGCACTGGGTTGGGTCCTGGACATGCAAAGAATAAGGTGTGGAATCTACTGTCTGGATTAGCTACTTTTTAACTTTGCCATCTGAAAGTTAGGTAAGAATGCCTTTAATATTCCCAACAGGTCATTATTAAAGATTTTGAAAGAAAGCAGGGGGAGAGAGGGCCAAGTACAAAGCTCTGTAGCAAGTCTTACTGTAGTCCAGTGATGCATGACCGGAAGTTCTATTTTCTGTAGACATATAGAATCTTAGGGAGGGTCACAGGCCATCCCCTCCTCCTTCCCTTGAGTAAGAAACAGTTATTAATGGAGTGCTATACATATTAATAATAATGGAAGACTGACTCTATGGGCTACTACCTAGTGGACACAAATCCCTTAATAAAATGTTAACAGTTACTCCAGCATTGCAGTTCTTCTTTTTGCTCAAGCCACATCTGTCTTGCCCACAAGGTTATCATGAGATGCTTTGTCAAATTCTTGCAGAAGGCAAGATATGCTGTTTCTGCAGTACTCAGATCTATGAGGAGGCCATGTAATGTGATGAAAAGAGAACAGACTTTGAAGTTAGACTGGGGTTTGAATTCTTACTCTCACTTCATAGCCATCATTATCCTGACAGGATATTCTAATGCCTGTAAGCGAGCTCCTTTTCTGTAAAATGGGAGTACCTCTACTTATAGGACTTTATGTGGATTACATGGACAGGCATCATGTGTAAAGCTCCTAGCACAGAGCCTGGCACATGTTTGTGTAATAAATGTTTGTTGTTTGCTGTTAAATGAATAGATGATGCTGGATTTATGTTTTTCTTTCAAGGTAATTGAGTCAAAAAAGGTAATGGGATTATTTTCACGTGAATTATTTTGAGAACTCATGCTGTCTCTGAGGGGTCATTACATTGTAAAATTGCTTATAGATTAGATAAATATTTTTAAAATCAAATCCGTTCTGGTGTTTTCACTGATACCTACATTTCCGCAATTCACTTTCTTTCTTTCTT